TGCAGTTTTATATGATATAGCATATTTGTTTTTTAATGTAAGATTTAATTGACTAACTTAAAAAGATTAATAAAGTTACAAAATACTCATGCATTACTTCTGTAAAAACTTGATGATTAATTTGAAGATATTAAGAAAATTAGTTAAGTTAGTTATTTGTGACTTTTTTAAACTATTCTCTTCAATCATAATATGGAATTATTTGGTCTAGGTATTCGTTATATTCAATAGGGATATTTTGAGGGAGGGGAAAAAAATTGAGGTCTTGTATTTAAGACTGAATTTAATCTTCTAACTGGTTCTTATATTAAGGATTAGATGTAATGAATGATTAGATTATATGTCAATTTATAAGTGAACTAGACAAATAAGTTAGAAGAAAAATGATATATATAAATATTTTAAAATGTTTTAGTAATTTTTTAATCTCTGCAAATGAGTTAGTCAAGTCTTAAGAACTTGAGATAGTAGAGTAGCTATACTCTTGCTTCAAAAATTTCTTCTCTGCTTCAAGATGAAGTAAAAAGAATGCAGGTTTTGTCCCTCATGATAAACTAAGCTTGTGTAAGAATTTGACTGGGTTAAAACATATGTAAAGGAATATAATTAAACATAAATACGAGGTATTACTTGTGAAAATGAATTTAACTTGGTTGGAAGATAGGTTTGTTCTGTTCTTTTCCGATTTGGAGTCCAGTACAGTCTGGCAAATTGTTTCTAATTAAATATGTTTTTTAAGTTATAACACTCGATATTATGATCAATACACCTTTTATCCTTATCTGCCTACTCTATTTTACATTTTGATCACAATGCAACGTTCCATTTACGTTTCTATCGTTCCATTTTGTTTTGGTACTGCTGTCTTCGTCCCTATTCACAACTATTATTTAGGGTTTGGAAAGTTCAGATTAATACTCATCGATCAAACACACGAGATAATAATCGATCGTGACAACGAAAATCTTCTTGTAAACTAATAATAGATGAATATAAGTTAAAGTATGTTGTTAGTTTTATTTTAGTCTCTGAATTTTGAACAGTATATTTTTATTTCCCTAACCCTAAAACCATTAAGAAAAGATGATAATATTGAGATTTTAAATATTAATAAAATATGTTTAAATGCTAATATTAAATTTAATTTTTAAAATAATCATGATTGTTATAAAAAATTATCATTCAAGATTAATGATTTTAGGGTTAAATGATAAAAAAAATGTACTTTTTAAAATTAGGGATGAAATTGAAACTTTGAATGAAGTTAAAAGAATCACATGTAAACTTTAACTATAAATTATATATATATATATATATATGTAACATATATATTCATTAATTATTATTGGCTATCGATGCAATTAGTTAATTTCTGATAATTTCTCCTATGAATTCTGCTGCAGCTGCCATATGTTGCTTAATCGGAACTATATTTCCTATAAATAATGAACGTCCATTCCGATATGAAGTATTTTTATAATCTTATTTACAAATAATTTCTAACATGTTTACATAGACCAATAAAATTTTAAACTTTATTAATTTTATTTTAAAATTCTGATATGCATATGGTGGAATAACACGTTTGTGGGTGATTCATTCTTAATTTTTGCTGGATGGTTATTCTTTCCCCCGAAATGATATTTAATTTGCCCCTATATATAACAAAGTTTCTTTTGAAGTAAAAATAGAACATACAATAATACTACTCCTGATTTTAATTATAGGAGCTAGTTGATTAATTTGAGGAGATTAAGAAAAAAAAATTAAGTTAGTTATTTGTCATAAATAGGTGTTGTCTTTCTTAAAGTATTCCTGCTAATTAAGTTTATTAACTAAAACTACCATTGTTAGAAGGACTATTTTGAGAAAAAAAATATAAATATTAAAGACAAAATGGATTAAGGTCTTGTATTTAGGATCAAAATAAAAGTCGAATAAGATCCTATATTAAGTATTAGAGGTAGTAACTGGGGGCTTTCTTTTTATGCAGGGCATTTTCGTTCTGAAAAGTTCTGAAATCGATTCATCACATATCACACCCTCGATCCAGGCGTTTTACAGGACCACACTATACTATGTTGCCATATATCCCGTAGGACGCAATTTTTATTTAGAAAATATATTCATACGGTCATTATTCTGTTCGCGAAAATATCTTTATTTTTCAAAAGAAATAATAACTTTTCACATTTTATTGCAAGATATGGAAGTAAAATCACTCATATTATGTAAAAGTCAGCTCTTTCATAAATATACATAATCGGTTTCCTCGGTATATACTAAAATAAAATGTCGAGAGAGAATCGTGTTAGAATTCAGTCAATCTGGAACAGATAGTATTAACTTTATTCACTAAAACTATCCATTACCCAATCAATTTCATATGTTTTTAAGGCAAAAAGGGCATATTTTGCTAATAATACAGTATAATCTCTTCCAGAATTCTGTACATAAAGATAAACACTCTTCAATGGACAAACTCGAACACCCAATTATTTATTTAAGTGATGAGATTGCCTACCACTTATCTCAAGTTCAAACCAGTAATCACGTTCCATATATAATGATTCATGTATATGGTAGAAAAATTTGGTCAGACTTGTATTAACTATATATATAACTGATTTTCTTTTTAAAAAAAAAAACTATATGATTACTAAATTCTACATAAAACAGTTCAAGTTAGCGCAGATTACAGAAAATAACAGACGCTTTGTTGTTGCCGGGCAATGAAAGCAATAAAGACTTTTGAAGTTTAAAGGAGGAAAGGAAAGTAAAAACACATATCTGTGTGTGGCCGTGTGGGGAGCGTGGGGTGGTATTGGTCCCAATGTATGGTACGTTGGGGGGCAGACATGCAACTCAAAGGACCAGCTTGGATCCATATCCCCAAGTTTCAGTGTACAGTCTTCTGAGCTGTTAAGGACTCCTGCCTCCACTGCTTTAATTTCCATCCTCATATTCTTATTCTTTCCCCTTTTTCCCCATTTATATACTACTTTTTGTTTTTAATCGTCAGATCTAATTTAATATTTAATTTAGTTTTAAATATAAGATTTTAATCTATTCTGTCTTTTATTTTTTTATTTTTTTATAATAGTCCTTATAGTAACTATACATGTTAAATATTTTATCAAATAATAGTTCTAGCTAATACATATAATTAGCAAAGGTATTTTAGAAAAGACAACACATATTTATTAAAAACAACTAACTTAACTAATTTTTTTATCTATTCAAATTAGTCTAATAGTTCTTATATTAAGGAACATAGGTAATATGTCATAATGTCAAAAAGATTATATTTATAAAATATAAAACAAATCAGGTAAAAACATTAAACATCATAATGACTAAATTGAAAATCGAGGCAGCATATTTTTCTGTCTAATACAGTAATATAGGCATAAAAACATTGCAATGTTATGCTAATTTTCATTTAGACAGATTTGCGGTTCATCAATACGTATAAATATATAATTTACTAATTTACTACTAAAAAACTGCATTATTATAGATCATGAATAATACTATTCATATCAAATTCTGCATAACGCATGGGTCCATATTTAGTTTTAAGATGTGATGCACTGTATCAGCGACACAATACTCTTTTACGCTCACTCTATGTTGTATAGGTACTTCCCAAAAAAAAAAGGGTAGACATTTACGTTGAATATATTTAATATGATTTTAACGTATTTTTCACACACAACATTTGGCGTCCAAAAGGTTTCAAAAATCAAAACAACATAAACAATTTATAAGGGTTAGTTGTGGGTGCTGGTTAGCCCACATGTTGATCTGTCATAATTTGCGAACGGAAAAATCCGCACTTTGACAAGCTGGCAAAATTCCAATCTGAACTCGGGTTGATAGTTGTCTCATTAACCTGCCTATTTCAAAAAAATAGTGTATTTTTTTAATTTTTATTAAAATATGAATAAGTATTATGTTTTGCAGTTTAATTATTTATTGTTAAATACTACTTCCAATCCTTAATATAAAAATTTGTTTGATTTTTATTTTAGTCCTAAATATAAGACGACACACAATCCATTTTATCTCTCTTCTTTATCTATTTTTTTTTCTAAGGTAGTCCTTATAATAATAATAATTCTAATCAATACATTTGATTAATAAAGATATTTTAAAAAAGACATAATTTGCAAACCAGGTGGTGCAGGTTGGGACAATTCACACTGTTGAACTTGAGTTGATAGGTTGTCCCACTAACCTGCCTTTTTTTTTTTAAAAGAAAAAATAGTGTATTTTTAATTTTCGTTAAAATATGAATAAGTATTATGTTTCACAGTTTAATTATTTATTGTTAAATATGAGTTTCATATAAATCTCACTTGTATATATTTTTTATCCATATGTATTTTATAAAATTTACAAAAATTTATCTATAGCATATAACTAATATAACTTGTCCCGGGCTACATGAAAAACTTGGATCATAATTTAGTTGTCCCTGAAAAAAGTTAAACAAAGTAATTTAAATTTATTTCGATTGGAAGTAGAATGATAAATGAATGTTGGTAATGCAATCAAACATTGAAAAATTAAAAATGAATATGTGTTTATATATACCATATAATAAGTTGTCAAAATGATACAAAACAATTCTATAATCCAAAGTTTTTTTATTCAATTTCATTTTCAATAGTTATATTTTCTGATATAGTTTTAAACAATTTTTAAAATTTATTACCCATTATCAATGAAAGTATCCAAAAAATAAAATAAAAACATTAAAAAAAAGGCCAGCCCGAGTTGGAACTCACACATGGGGTCGGCCCACCACAACCCGTGAGCTGACAGGCTGGTAACTTGGTATATGTTCAAATGACATTTGAAGCATTTATTTAAAACGTAATTATTACAAAATTCATTTTAGTTCGAAAAATTATTATATCCAATGCACTGCATTCGTATTCAATCATATCATTGCAGGACATGTCATTAAATAGGAGTTAAGAAAAAGTCAAGGCTTAAGAGTAACATACAGTCAATTCTCAACTTTTTATTCAACATAGATTGAGCACTGCACTTCAAATGGGAAAGCTAGGGTGGGAACTGGTTTCAATTGGAGTGCTCGCTTTTGCATCTCAAGATACCCGAATTTGATTCTGCTGGTTCTGTCCTTGCTCACCCACCCAGCAAAATCTCAATCAACGTCATGATTATTTCATGCTCAACAATTACATCAAACCCAAAAAATAAAAAGCACTAAAAAAGCAGTAGAAGGTGGAAGTTTTTAAGGATTACTATACAGGTAGGGCATCGAAGGATGCTTAGATGCTCCTACTAGAGGCCAAACAGGAGGAAAAAGGGGGTGGTTAAGACTAATGCTACCTTTGAGGTGTACCGGAAAGGATCGGATCAATTATTGCCGAACCATCCTTTTCCAATGCAGGAATACTAAGAGAACGCTTTCTTAACTTGGCTTCACCAGGATGTAATCTCCTCTCACTGTTTTCCATGAACAGAGATGAGTAAGAGCAAGAGGACTCGGGGACTGGCTCACTTCTAGTTCTGAGGTAGAGCCCATGGTTTTGACGTTCCTCATTTTCCAGCACCCTAGTTCTATGGCTCCCGTGACCAAGCTTCTCTCTAGACACTTCATCATTGCCAGACCAATAGTCATTTTTCGGCATGTCTTGCATTGCCAAATCATCATACTCTTCATCAGACTTTGTAGATTCCTCGTCCACTGAGCCTACCTGCAAAGCAATGGAAAAGTAGAGATTACGACTACGCATTGGCTTTATTAATGATTTGTTGTGGCAATGAGATTGGCTGCCTTTCCAAGCTCATGAGATTGTGATCAATGAACAGAGTCTAAGTACATGAAATTGCTGATCATTAACAAATCAGCACGGATCAACACCCATGCCAGCTCATGGCCACGCTACAAACTCAAAACCATTAATAAACATGTGATCCAACCATCAGAATCCCCATGCGACAAATATGCCGGCAATGATTATCTAAAAGCAATCGTAAGACTCGGGATCCATACTCTAGAGTTAATTTCATTAAATATACAAACTTCAAGTCTTTATAACTACAAGCTAAATTCTACCTCATCATGGACTCGCTTGTCACCATCATCACTGAAATCCTCATCGCTGCCCACCTCAGGTGGATCATCAATCTCTTCATCACTGCCATACACTGACTGCTCCTCCTTAAGCTAAAAAGAAACACATAAAAAATTTATCAGAATTAACACACAAAATTCAGAGAATTGAAATTTTTATATTTACTTCCCATTGATATCAAGCACATAATTTCATATGCAACCAAGTCGCTTATAGTGGTAATCAAGCTTACCTCTTTTGCAGGTCCATCAGACAATCTTGGTGAGCTGCAGCAAGAGGACATATATCTGCTGCCAGTGTCAGTCCCATCGGCCCTTGACTCATCAACACTTCCGGCACCACTGGTACCACCATCACTAGGCCATGCACTGATCCCGTACAAACCAAACGGAAGATTTACAGGTTCAGATTTGCCAATCGTTAAAGGTTCATACATTGGACAACCTACTCCCTGCACCGATCCATCACCCCATACTGGGTTCCCATAACTGTCAACGGAATTAACAGGCCAAACTTTTGCCACAGACCCATCTGTATTAACGAGGGCCATCAGATGCCTTGAAGACCCTTGTCTCTGTATCAACTGAAACATTCCTTTCGAGCTCAAGGAATTGGCAGCACATTGATTTCTATATTCCTCATCAACGACAGTGACAGTATTTCTAGTAGGATCATACAGTAGTTCCCCAGCTTCACGCCTACGAAGACAGCTGAAGACAGTAGCATGTATGGCTGCTACACTCTTGTCAACATTAGTGTTGTTTATTTTTGGAACTAAATGCTTGTCAGCACGCTTACAGAGGTAATCCTGGATTGTTCTGATGTTTCGGATATACTTTACATATTTATTTCTTGCTGGGTCCAGAGTCATATACTTTGCACGCACAGCAAATCGTTCCAAATGCTTATCCTCATTTGTAATGTATATCATGAACGGTATGATTGAAGGATGTTTCTTCATTAGCCCCATCTGTTTCACAATTTGTTACTGTTATTGTCAAATGTCAATTAAAAATATAACATACGATAACATGCAAATAGAAAAGAAGAAATAGAAAAAGGACCCCATAAAAAAAATTTGACATACAACAAAGTTGAGGCTCAAGTGAACACCCTCAACAACAACGGACTCTTTCCGTTCTTCCCAGGCAGTGATTAACCTATCAAGACTGTCAATCACCATCTCACTCTGTGCCTTAAATCCTTCAATAGCCATTTGTTTTGGATTTAGCAGTTCTGTGTTAGTAGGACCCACATCCAGCGTCAGTCCATCAGATTTCTTAGGATTATCACCCTCAGTTACTTCACCCTTGGGAACTGAATGTGACACACCAGCCAACTTTTTGGCTTTCCTTCTAGCCTTTGCTTCAGCAACAGCAATAGGATCCAAGCACTCGCCTGCATGGTAGGTAGAAGCCCATAACAAGGGATTTTCTTTCTCACTGACAAAACTTCTCATCATGTGCCTAATGGAGTCAGTTGACACCACTGTTGTGATTCCCAGCCTACTACCCTGAAGTGGAGGTATAAATGGTACTTTAAGTTCTCGAACTACAAAATTATAGGCTTAGTTTCAACATTATTATTCACTTCAAGTTAAATATCCTACCACATAACAAGTAAAACTGGCACTACATATTTGTAATTGTTAAAAGACAACTACTTGTCAATGCAAAGATACCAGCAATGCAGACAAAGTGGATTTGCCACAGCCACTGGTGCCACACAGCAGAATTGTGACAGATTCCTTCCGTTCTCGGATTCTGCACTTAAAAAACATCAAAGTTAACAGAGAAAAAAAATGGTACTGTGTACAAGATAATATCCCCATCATCAATCATTAGCATAAAATACAACCAAAACAAAGCTTGATATAAAAATTGGCACGCCATTTCATATTAAAGCGCAACAAGTTACTAAACAAAAATCCTTATGAAGCATGGACCGAGCTCGGATATTAACCTGGAAATAGGTCACAAAATAAACATTTTGATACAACGTCTAAAGAACCCAAATCCTTTTTCAAAGAGTCGGTGCTCTTGTGCTTCATAACTTCCTTCCAAAACAACCTTGAAGGGAACTTCAATTGTCTAGATTTTAGGTGTGGTGAATCAAATCAGAAGTAGAGACAGGAAATATTAACAAAAGCATATACCAATAATGAGCTAGGAACCTTTTGACCATGTAACCACAATAAAATCGACTTGGCAATAATTTAAAAATTGTCCTCTACTCCCTTCCACAAGTTTCTAGCAATTATATAACCTAGATTTAACATAAGTCAAACTGTTAGACTATAGAGATGTGAGTTCAGATTGAAGGACAAGACAGTACATATTTTGCTGAAATGACAGTCGATAGATGCAGCCTATCTTGGAACATGGAACGATGGATGTGTTGAGCCACTGATTACTGTCGTCAGGCAGCCATAGGTCTCACTTCAATGGCTAGAAATGTCTCACTTAAATTCCAGACATGTATTCAAAGAAATTTAGAGCTGGATGAACCCGACAGAGTTTAAAATTCAACCATCTAAATGAAGCTAGGTTATCAAGCACCACCTAATTTTCCCGAGTACATTAACCTAACAAGTCAGAGTGGCTTAAGCATTTAAAACTCCTAATACTAAGGATGACAGTCAGGCTGAAGTCCAGAAAATCATAGTCTGTGACTGAAGTGTTTGCAAAAGCTTTTAAATTCAGGGAACAACCAAAGGAGTATACCTAAAAAATTTAACATAACACAGGCCAGTCTCCAAAAATGTTTTATAACAACATAATGATTGTAGGAAAATATACCCTTGACCAAGAATATACCAGTCACTGTAGACTAACTTTAAACATAAATTCCATTGCATCAAAGCAGAAGCAGCAACCAAAACCAGATTTTTTTCCTCGTTCTCTTCAGGTTACTGCAGATCAAAACAGTCCCCACAAAGGTAGTAATTGATGTCATACCTGCATGCTAGAACCAGATCTGATCTCTGGTTGGGTCCCACATACTTATATTCAGCCAGAGCTGCACAGACAATATCTAAAAATGTTTCTCTGCGAACCACTGCAGTTGTGCGCCTTTTGTACAACTCATATAGTGCACTCTTAATTCTATTAGCTTTCCCCGAGAATGAGTTGTTCTGTACATCTGCTTTAGCACCAGCATAATGACCACCTTCTATCTCAAAATTCTCCTCAGCTGCACCAATTCCTGATGTTAAAATTCCTTCAGGCAGCAAAGTATCAGGAAAACTCTCGCTCCTTGTGAGTTCAAACACCCTTTTACTGATCTGGTGATAGAAAAGAACATTTAGAAGACTTGTGCAAAAGGTCTAGAATGTGTCACATTCAATAAAAATATGATGTGAAACTGACAATAAAAAAAGACCAGACGTGAGCATTCTAGTCACTCAACCATGTAAACTCAATCATCTATCAAAAATATGCATAGAAGATTGATACTTCAATCTCATACTCATGCTAAACTCGTTGATCACTTTAAGAGCCTCAATGTCAAAAGTCATGACATTTATCATCATGCCAACAGGAATGAAACAAGGAGAGCCAAAATAGTATGCAAACGTAAGAAGGGAAACATAAAAGGTCAGGGAACGTTTGCATTTTCCTCAAAGAAAAGAGAGGGAAGAATCCCGATGCTCTACTTGTTAGACACAATGAGCCCGAAGGAACACAGAATGGGAAGGCACAGCAACAGATCTTTCAGTCAGGTAACACAGCTGAAAAACTACCCCATTCGGAGTAAATTAACCACTTGTCTAACTTCTGAACAATTATCAAGATACAAAAAGTCTAGATCAACGACGTTAAAATACGCTCGACCGTAGCACAAATCTCACGACCTTGTTCGAATGAATAAGGAGATCATTAAAGTACCATAAACAAAAATGATTCAAAGTAAGTGAAAGAGAGCGTGACATACTGAAAGTTCACAGCATCAGCCAACACAGAAACGGATAACGCTGTGAACAAAGGAGTTCTTTTTTTTTTTTCATTTATTAACTAAACTGTCAAATTGAATTGAAAGAAGACATACCTTAAAGGCATGTCGCGCTTTGCATCCCATGAACTGCAAAGTGCTCTGCAGAACAGGGCGTGTATACCGAAATGACTCCTTGCCCTTCGCTTTCTGCTCATACTCGTCAACCACCACAATATACAGCACTTTCCCAACGTCAGCCATCCCTGCACATTCGTATGGCACAAACACTCAGAGAAGGATCACGCTCACGATAACAGTAATGAAAAACCAACGCCAACTGCCACTTCCAGCAAAAGACAGAGACTCATAGACTGATATAAGTATGAAAAGAAGACAAAAATCAAAATGCACGACATTTATGCGCCGTGGGCCCATTGGAACATGTTTTAAAAATGGATCCCGGGAAAGTTTGCAAAGAACGGTAAAGGGAAAAATGAAAATCTGAAAACATGGACACTTAACTGTAATGTGACTTCCTGGAGGAGGCAACTGAACAGAAGCAATGGGACCAGAAAAGGATTTAGAATCGAGCAATTAAAATCCGAAGGGGGGAGATCAAGCAGATTCCGATGAGTAAAAGAAACGCCGAGAAACGAACCACGTGAGAAGATCAGAGAGGAGAAACTAAGATTTAGACAGCGCTATGATCCACCATTTGTTAGTTTTTGAGAAGCGATCTCAGCATTCTCCTGATCTGCCTGGGTTCATCTAGTTTTCACCTTTCACGCACCACGTATAAAATTTCGAGGGCATGAAATGACGGGTTTCTCCTTCGGACTGTGCCAGAATTTCAACTGCCGCGAAAGGTCGCGCCAAATGCTAACGAGTAACGAATGGAACCCTAGGAGACAAGATTAGGTCTAGGGGTGAAATCGTTGTGGGTCCGCCCAACCCACACGGGATCCGAGTGATAGATTCTGTAATTAAAGTGACAAAGCGGGGTCATTGTGTGCAAAGGCAACACCGAATGCCCAATTCGCTGAATGATGATATTTGTTTTTATTTTTTGGTCATCAGCCCAGTTGAACGGTGATGGATCCGGCTAAAATTACGTGGCACCTAAAATGGATGTGCGAAAATAAATGTTAATAATAAAAATTTATCAGTTTGAGGAAGGAGCAGTAAAATGGACTCAGGCGGCCGACATAGTTTTACAAATATTTTTATAATATACTCCTTCGATCCTTAATATAGGACCCATTTAACTAATTTGATTAGATTAAGAAAGTTAGGTAAGTTAGTTAATTATAAAAATTGTGACACGTTTTTCCTAAAATATCATAATCATCTTTCTTAATACCCCTCTCTATCTTCTACTTGATTATGGTTGATGGAGTATCTATAGGGGTAATTTAGAGAAAATTGATAAATATGAGAAATGAATTTTATATTTAGGATCAAAACCAACTCAGCAATTGGGTCCTATATTAAAAACCGGAAGAGTATAAAATAAATATGTAGAGAAGTTTGTCTCGTTTTTCATAGAAGAGTTTTCCAAAACCATTTTTAGTTGTTGTCAAACATGTCCTAAATTATTTTTATTAAATTCTATTCTATATGGGTACATAACATATATATTAATTAAGATTAATCTTATATTAAAATTATATATTTATCATATTACAAGGAAAATATGATTAAACAATTAAAATTAAAGGTGAAAAACAAGGATAACTCCGGGATTAGATATTGGACGCCCCACTTTAATTTGACGTGTTCTTCTTTCTATCATGTTCTTGTGTGTGAAGACGTGTTCCATTTTGACCGGGTAGGAAGAAAACAAATCGGCGGCCTGGCTCCCTCTGGTTTGTGTCGTTATGTGTATGCGGTATTTAAGAATTACGATGGCTTTGTATTTTATTTTATGAGCATGCCGAGTTTTTTTTTTTTTGGTCAAAAGCATGCCGAGTTTGAACGAACATGACCCTTTTCCATTCCCTCCTTTATGCTCTCTTCCGGTCTTCTCTCTTGTATGATTTAGTTAGTATCATTAAAATATACAGCACTCGGGGCCCCCTCTTCAGACTTCAGCTGCTGCTCTAAGCCTACTTAGTATTTACAAGGTGCCTTGAACATATTTTGCTCACGAAAAATCTCAAAACTCAACAATTATATTTTAAAATTTAATAATTTTTTAATTTTATCCTATTTAATTTAATATATACCTTTTTAAGAAAATAATTGTCTATGTAATAATAAATTAGGAATAAGATTGTGCGCTCATTAATAAATTTAAGAGTAAAATACTCTGACTACCTTTTTAGTTTGCATCAATTACACAGATCTCTCTTCTATTTTTAAAACGTATAGCTTAGTCTAGTTAGTTATTACTGTTACGAATATTCTAAAAATATTATTTTTAACTAAAATTTATATTAAAATAAATTTTATTTACTATTTTACCCCTCATTCTAATAAATTCTTAAATTATATTTTTACAGTTACATGAATTTCCTTTCGTTAAGGCAGATATAACAAATTTGATTAAAAATTTAACTATTTTTTTTAATAAATATATATACTTGACTAAATATGTTTATAAATTTTTGAAACAAAGATGTGTCTAAAAGTTTTGAGTTGTAAATTTAAATAATTTATAAAATTTTTCAAACTTGTATCATTTAAACTTTACAATAAACAAAAATTATGTATTTGAAATATGTTCTTACAATTTAAAAGAAATCAAAGTAAATAATTTCCAATGGATGTGATAAAATATTAAAATTATAAAATTTTATAATTTAGATAAAAATTATATTATAAATTTTAAAAATACACATATTAGAATTATTTTTTGATTGTATAAAAAAAATTTGGAAAATATAAAGTGTCTAAATAATTATTAAGTTAAAAAGGGAAATTTTGGTAAAAAAAGAATTTAAAGTCAAACTTAACGGTTTGAGTGGATAGAAATATAATCTTAAATATAGGAAGGGGTTTATGTAACATACGTTTTAATTATAAAGGAGATTTATATACATTTTCAAAATAGAAGGAAAGTTTATGTAATTGAGATAAAATAGAATGGTGACCGGTGTATTTTACTCTAAATTTAATTAGGTGATTTATACTAAGGATAAAAAAATTCTTTATACATATACTCATCCAATCCTTAATATATGACCTAATTCTTGAGTTGGTTTTGGTCCTAAATATAATACTCATTTCTCATATTTATCAATTTTTTCTAAATTAACCCTATGGATACTCCATCAACCATAATCAAGTAAAAGAAGGAGAGGAGGTATTAAGAAAGATGATTATGGTGTTTTAGAAAAAATGTGTCACTTTTCTTATGATTAACTAACTTACTTAGCTTCATTAATCGAATCAAATTAATTAAATGAGTTTTATATTAAGGATCGGAGGAGTATATATATATATTCTAAATATGATTATAAGTATAAGAGGATTTTTTTTTTTAATGTTCATAACGAAGATAAGGTCAAGGTCCGTGCATTAGGTAAATAAGTGACCGACTCAGCCTTCATGACCGCAATAAAACGATAAATGAGCGTGCGTTGATTTTCTGTTCTCTCTGTTTTTTTTTGTTTAGATCAAGCCCTGCATGTCATGGAGTGATCATTTTCTAAATCCATGAAATGAATTTTGATTAGGAATAATTAATCTCTTAGTTCTTATAATTTTAACACATCTGTAACTCAATTTTTATATTTTGACTCAATGCAACTTAATCCCTATATTTTTGATTCATTTATAACTTAATCTCTGAAGTTTGACTCACTGTAATTTGGTCCCTATATTTTTAACCATTTTATAATTCAGTCCATCTCTTTATTAGATATATAATTTTATTTTTTTTAAACGTAATGACTCAATTATAAAATAGGTACAACTATAAAGACTAAGTTGCAGCGAGTCAAACTTCAAAAATTGAGTTACAACTAGGTCAAAATTATAGAGACTGAGTTGCATTGAGTCAAAATATAGAAACTGATTTATAAACGAGTTAAAACTATAGGCACCAAAAAATTAAATTTTCTAAAATATGCATTGGATTGGATAATCTTGTTTTAATCTCTACGACGGTCGATTTGTTTTTGTTATCCCTCATCTATAGTCACGTTCGCTTCGAAATTAATTAATCATGAGGTGATCGATGATTAGCTCATCATATTTTGATGATTATTTTTTAATTACCAAATATTTTGACAATGGGTAATATTGTTATAATAATGGCATTTAAATCTTGGGGAACATAACCTACTCCTTATCCTCACCAAGGAAGGGGAACAATATATAAACAAATGCGTGTAACTGTCAAGTATGGTTTAGAAAAAGATTGGAAAGACTTCATTTTCGTTGACCTTGACCTAACTTGTGAACATGGATGGCGTGATTTTGTTGTAATTGAAACCCAGGGCCCGGTGATGTGCACTTCACATATCTGTCAAATTTCTCACCTTTCTTCTATCAAAACGCACAAATTCAAAGTCATCGCCACCCGATTGCGTTTGGACTGGCTTTCCAATAAAACAGATTTTAAAAAAAGTAATTTAAAAATGTGGATTTTTATGAAAAAATTAATTTTTTAATATAAACGATTTCGTTGAGAAAATGATTATTGAAAGTTGCCTGCCTAGCTTATATATACCAAAACCCATAATTTTCTGGGAAAAATAAACTGTAGGAAAAAGCGAGCGTTTCGCTAGCTGACCTCAAAGCTATGGTTTCGGTGAAAAGTATTTGGGCTGTTTTGTTTCAGAACTTTGATTTTCTCTTTTAAATATGATGATACATGGTTTACATGTATTGGTTGGAAAAACTGTTGTTTCCTTAAAAATTTTATACTGATTTTTATTAACACATTTTTGAGTAAAAAAACATCGTATATCCAGACCAAGAATGTTAATTAAATTGTATATACATTTAGCAAATTTAGATCATGATATATAAGATCGATTAAAGATTGAATCTCGTTTTGGACCAACTTGTCCAACACTCAGTTGTCATTCAATTCCCATCCCAGTTTATAAAGAGATGATTCAATTGATCACATTTGACCATAATGTGTCCAGAAAATAAAACTAGTAATTTATGGCTGTATCAATCTTTTACTATATAAATTTGTGTGAATATTTTCTGATATTGTTAGTGGATAATATTACTTCACCAGCTAAATATGCATACGAGTTTCAATGAACATGCCGAACTTTGGTTATAGTACAAGTAATCATTTAAATTAAATAATCATGATTCATAAGCAAATAATTCAATCAATTGCAAATAATTAATTAATTGAGACATACACGTACATGTACTGATCGCAAAAGTATGGATAAAGTAGGGATAAAATATTGTCCAGTGGAAGTTTATAAAAGCAGATATTTTTGTGAAGGTCAAATCAAAACCCCTGCAATGGGTTTGAGAGGCGCACGTTCAGTTAGGTGTTATTGCCTCATTTGAAGCATCGCCCCTTGGAATATCGCAAGTAAAGCAGCCCCTTGTTTCTGATTATTATATAAGCAAATAAGTGAAAATGACATTGAGGTCCCATGGAGAACAAAATACATCAAATAGGTCCTCTGAAATCTGATAATTTTTTTGAAGTCCCAAAGGGACTTAGATGCAATTTTCAGAATCCACTAATTACCGTTTTGCCCTGCTCCTGCCATAAAAAAAAAAGACGGGAGAATGAACTTTGAGTATTTCCTGCGCAGAAGCTTGAGGGAGAAGATATTGGGAAAGAGAGAAGGAGCCATTTA